GAATGGAGAGAGCAAGAGCAAATTTTATGGATATGTGGAAGAAGACCATTCTAGGTTGAATAAATAGTCAGTACAAAAACCATGGTGTGTTGGGGAATAGCATGGAATATTCATAAAAACTATTATAGTGCCCAAGCAGATGCTCACAAGTAATAGCTATTTAGAATACTATGACCAGGAGTATGACCTAGAACTGTATGGTCTCAGTGCTGATCTTGCTGTTATGTCATATTGTCTCTTCGTTATAACCATGAGACATATACTGACTTTTCCTTTCCACTATTGTTCCTTGCCAAGGTCCAGCTTTTACACAGGCTTACTATGCGTTTCCAATCATGTAATTTCTGTTTTGCCTTTTGCATACTAGGATGTTGGGTTCTAACATTTCTTTTCACACTAATTTTTGGGATTGATATTGTTACTGTCACTGGCTGGCAACAGTGATTCCCTTCTTTCTTCACTATATGTATGTGTCATCCCAAAGTGGAGGTACACAGGCCAAAAGGTCAGTCTCCCTAGGAAGTGGAAAATCCTTAAGTTCACATGAACTACTATATAAAAATTCTAATTACAGCTCTTCTGCACTCCTCAAACACTCTATATAGTATCCAAGACACTTTGTTTTAACTTTTTAATTATATGTTACTTTTATTTTTTGAATAGGGAGGCATTGCACTGTGGTATGAAATTTTAAAAGAACAAAATTATATAGGAGAGAAAAATAAGTTTCCCTCCTTATTTTCCCCAGCCAATCATTATTTCTGCCTCGAGACTAATGATGTAACCAGATTCCTTAGTGTCTTTTCAGAAATATTGAGTGCCTATGTATATATGTTCATGAGGGTATGTTTACTCTTCTTCTGCATTGCAGTCCCAGATGATAAAAAGCATCTTTTCTTTCCAGGTTTCATATTTTCACTTTCCCACAACAACTATATGATACATAGGAAGGGGACTCAAGATTTTCTTCCAAGAGTGGCAAGTTGAACAAACAATTCTGTTTGGTTTGGTTAGATGTTCAGCCCATGAAAAATAGGCAAAATAATTATAGTTTTATTTCTTTTTTCCCCAATAGATTTGTATTGAACCTTTTTAGTTATACATTAGGATTTATTTTGACATAATTATGAAAGCATGAAATAAAATTTTCTCTAACTCAGTCCCTAGTACTTCCCCTTCCTTTGATCCCTTCCTTCTACTGATCTTTCTGTTATTTACTTATAGGGTGTTTTGTTTTTGATTTCAGTTAGTGTCTTGTGGAAATACTTGATAGTGAGGTTCGCTGTGGCATATTCACGTATTATGTAGGAAAGTTAGGTCAGATACATTCCAGTCGTCTTCCCTATCCAGTCTCCTCCTCCCTCCCCATCAAGCCCCTTAATCAGTTTTAAAAATCATTCTTCTACTTTGCTGAGGATTGAATCCAGTGCCTCACACATGTGAGGCAAGCACTCTACCACTGGGCTACACCCCAACCTCCAGAAACTTTATCTCTTTATTGAAATAATCTTTCACTTCCTGTATTTTCATCCTATTTTTCCATTACTTTTTCTTTTAGTTTATTGATCATTTTAACTATGAACTTTCTACTTTCTCTGACATTTCTTCCACTGCAATGCCAATGAAGTCAGTTGTTGAAGTGTTATGTATTGTTTGGGGTAGTTTGTTCCCTTGATTTTTAATATCACTTGTACATCTATCCATTTATTGGGGGTGGTTTTTGCTTCTTTTAAGCAAGGGACTGCTTTGTGAACTTCTTAAGAGCCCTGGGTTGGGTGAATATCCAGGTGTGGATATTTAACTCATATCATGACCTTTGCTGATGCCAATATAAGCACCACTTTGAGGGAAGCCCAGAACCCTATTCACTATAATCAGTTCAGAGCCCAGCCACTTACAATTCAGCCTGATAAAAAGTGAATGACTTGTAAATATAGTGGTTCACGAGTTCCTCTAATACAGTATAAACCTGTAGTAAAAAAATTCTGGAATGAGTTGAAAATTAGTTATTAAATATAGTGAAATTGCTGTAAAATTATACTAGGGCTGGAAGGGAGAAAAAATGGGCAAAAAAGATTTAAAAAATTAAAAAGAGAAAAGGTAGAAAAGAATAATACTCACTAAGGTAAAAAGGGTTAAAAAAGGTGGATAGGGGTATTTCTGGTACTGGCAGACAGTGTGAGTGGGAGAGTAGCAATTAAGAGGGTCAAGTATAAACTATTGCTAGGAAGTCAAAGATAGAAAGAATGATTCCAATTAGTGCTTTAAACCATTAAAAGAAATATGTTTACATGGGTTGAAGGTACAATAATAGCTATTAGGGTAACAACTCACAATCAAGATAAATAGTAACATTCATGATCAAAGTTGATGTTTGAGTTATTTATAGTATAAACCATGCCAAGGTGAAGAAAATTCTTTTTGAATCTTGGTTTGGATTTCATTTTAGGATTTGGGACATTTAAAAAATATCCATCATTATTTGCCTTCTAATTCCTCCAGAGATTCCTGGATAGAGGAGTCCCTCCCCTAGTTTCTTTTTTAAATTTTAATTTTTTTATATATGACAATAGAATGCATTACAATTCATATTTTACATATAGAGCACAATTTTTCATATCTCTGGTTGTACACATCGTTTGTGTCTCCTTATATGTACATAGGGTAATGAAGACCATCGAGTTCCACCATCTTTCCTACCTCTGTTTCCCTCCCTTCTCCTCCCTCCCCTTTTCCCCTTTGCCCTATCTAGAGTTCATTTAATCCTCCCATGCCCACCCCCCATAGCATATTATGGATCAACATCCTTAAATCAGAGAAATCATTCAGCACTTGTATTTTGGGGATTGGCTAATTTCACTTAGCATAATATTATCCCCTGGTTTCTATGGACCCCCCACTGGTCTGATTTGTTTTGTCAGCTCAGGGACCTGTGGCTGACTGCATTGAGTATGTGGAGTATGTGAAGTTGTGTCTGTTGGTTGTTTCTGTTTTGTGCAGGAGTTCAGGACTCAGGGCTCTGGGCTATTGCTGCTATTGCTGTGGGTCATCATATACCCACTCCCCTCTACAGGATCGTTTTCATGAAGGCATAAAGCATAATGGCTGTCTGCAAGCACAGGTCCTGTGGTTGTGGATTCTCCATGGGGGATCTGTGGTACAGATCCTGGCCTATGCAGCTTACTGGGGTACTGTCTTTACCACTGAGTAAAGAGATTCAGCTGACTCACCTAGGTTCCAGTTTCCACTGCCCCAGGCTGTGAAGGGTGGGCACTGATTCCCTCTGCTGACTGTGACTGATGCAGGGTTGAGACAGGATCAAAACAATGCCCTTGGACTGGGGTTGGGGCTCAGTGGTAGGGCGCCTCGCACATGGGAGACCCTGGGTTCGATCCTCGGCAGCAAATAAAAATAAATAAGTGAAATAAAGGTGTTGTGTCCAACTACAACTAAAAAATAAATACTTAAAAAAAAGAAAACAGTGTCCTGTCACTCGGTACATGTGCCCAAGGGTCAGCTGCCTTGGACCCAGGCAAATGTTTGCCTTGACTGACCTCTTGTTGGCTTTGGTAATGGTCCAGGCCTCTTCCCTTTAAGCTTCCTGAAAACTCAAGCAACTTCTCATCCCAGCCTTCCACCAGCTGCTGCCATGATCTAGGGAACCATCACTCTATGCTGCTGGATATCCAGGAGGCTTCCCTCCAGGATGGCCTTATGCAGACTGTGACTGCAATCAGGGACAATCCCTCTAGGCTTCTTAGACCTCAGGCAACTCCTCTCTGTTTCTCATCCCAGGGACAGCAGGCGGCAGCAGCAGTTCTAATGGCTCCCCTTTCCCCTTTCTTCTGCTTGCTGCTAAAACTGTTTTGCTGCTTGGATCTGAGCTTTCAGTTATGGGTGAATTGCAGGTGTCTGCTCTGTCTCTGCCCAGCCTTCCATGACAGCTGTACAGAGTGCTGATTTGGGCGAGCAGTTCCTGGGTTGGTTGTTCCACCCTGCTCCCCATTTTCATGGTCAGAGGGAGGGGTTTCAGCAACTTTGGGCTAGTAGTGATCCCTCTACAAGTTCTTTCTAGAGGGAGCCTTACGAGAACCCACTACCCTCTAGTTTAACTTGCTTCTTTCTGGAAGTGGGGAGAATGCTGTGTTGATTCATGGGGGTGACTGTTCAGCTCTGGGCTCCGCAAAATGGCTGTGGATCCTGGCATGGCTTTCTATTTATGATTTGGTTTTATACTGCTTGATCTGCTTCAAGGACACCGCTGTTGCTGCCATGCCTTTTTTTTCCTGCCTTTCTTTCCAAATGTTGTTAAGGGAGTGGACTTTGTGCTTTTCTGCTCCCTCTTTCTCTGCCTGTTGTCCCTCCCCATTTCGCCCACCCTGTTCCACATTTGGGGTTAGGGAATTCTGTGCTTATTTTCTACTCTGGTAACCAATCTTCAAGTCTCTCCAGGTCTTGGACATTATAATATTGAGTCTTAGAACATTTATATCTCCCACCTGTCAGATCAGCTGTTCCTTCACTACCTCCTCTCTGTGTTTTTGCTCTCAGAATCCACTGCCTAGGTCCATTCTGCCATATTGGACTCTCTCAAAAAGCATCTTAATAACTCTTTGCATCTGATTTTTATCATATCCTGTGAGGTAGGTGGTATTGCCCCTGTGTTACAGAAGAGAACACAGAGGCTCAGTGAAGAGAAATTACTTCCCTCAGGTCTCCCAGGCAGAAAGTAGAAAACCAGGATTGATGTTGTAGTCTTTTGTCTGCATTCTTTGTTTCACACTAAGGAGTGTTCCATTTTGTTTCATAAACATGGGAAGAGATATCTAAACACTTGCTAGTAGAATGTTTTAGAAAATCCCCATAATTCATTTAACCATATTAGAATATTTACATCGGACCCTAAGTGTAATGTTAGCAGATATCAGGTGGTAGACAGTATTAGGGACAAAAAAACTTGATATAATTGCCTCCTGGATATCTTCCTTATCCCTCCACAGATCTATTTGGGTCCACCTGAGGAGAACACTGCACCCCCAGTGCCTCCACCTCGAGTGACAGCAAGAAGACACAAACCAATCACAATTTCAAAGCGATTACTGCGAGAAAGGGCGGTTTTCTATACTTCTTCCCTGGATGAAAGTGAAGGTCAGTACTCATATTCACCCTTAGCTTCTAAATGGTGATTAGACAAAAAGAAGTTGTTGAGGGGCAGAAGTGGGGGTGTGATCATTTTTATCCATGCAAATATAAGCCTTTCCTGGCTTCTAGGTTTAAAAGCATCTTGGAGAAGCAAAGCTTATACTTATTCCCAGAGAGGAAATTATTTTTTTTGGTTTCGGATAGAACAGGGATGACTTTGTAAAAGATGCTACCATGATCCTTTCTTTATAAGATCAGTGGAGGATCCACAATATTCTTAGATCTGTGTGCCTAATACATGGAAATGCATAAATCAGATGCTTTCTGAACATGCTTAGGTTTTAAACTCATATATGGCTAATATGGATTGAAAACCTACTATGAGCCAGGTACTATGCTAGGTGCCCAGTATGTATTCCTAAGGAGCTTGTGGGATAAAGTGAGATACATGTATGTGAACAAACAAATGCCAGTCAGTGGAATAATTGCTAGGAATGAGACTCTAAACATTCTACATGGACCTATGCCCCACTCACCACTATTCCACTGAGAACATTCTTGCAAAAGTCACTAATAATCTCCATGTGATCAAATCAAATAGCCACTCTATTATTCTCCCCTTACTCAGCTTATGAACAGCATTAGATACAGTTGACTCCTTCCTCCTCCTTAAAACACTGATTTTGGTTTCCAGGACACCAACTCTCCTTTTGCCTCACTAAATATTCCATCTCCATCTCCTGTATGGCTTTTCCTTCTCTCTGTTATATTTCTATGTGATTTTATCTATTCTTTTGGTCTTATTTTTTAATTTATTCTGATTTTTTATACCTGATGCCAGAATGCAGTTCATTTCATATTACACATATAGAACACAATTTTTGAAGACACTGATTGTAAACAAAGTAACACCATTTGTGTCTTATACATGTACTTAGGGTAATAATGTCTAACTCATTCCACCATCATTCCTCCCCCCTTGCCCCCATCTTTCCTCTCCCTCCCCTTTGCCCTATCTAAAGTTCCTCCATTTCTCCCATGCTCCCCACCCCCAATCGCCATTATGCATCAGCATCCTCATATCAAAGAGAACATTCGACCTTTTGGGGGGAGGATTGGCTTGCTTATTCACTTAACATTATATTCTCCAACTTCATCCATTTATCTGCAAATGCCATGATTTTATTCTCTTTTAATGCTGAGTAGTTTTCCATTGTGTATGCATACCAAATTTTTCCTATCCATTCATCTACTGAAGGGCATCTAGATTGGTTCCATGATTTAGCTATTGTGGATCCTTCTGTTGTAAACATTGATGTGGCTGTGTCCCTGTGGTATGCTGTTTCTAAGTCCTTTGGGTATAAACCGAGAAGTGGGATAGCTGGGTCATTCCCAGTTTTCCAAAGAATCTCCATACTGCTTTCCAGACTGGCTGCACCAATCAGCAGTCCCACCAGCAATGTATGAGTATGCCTGTTCCCCACGTCCTCACCAACACTTATTGTTGTTTGTATTCTTGATAGCTATTATTCTGACTGGAGTTGAGATGAGATCTCAGAGTAGTTTTGATTTGCATTTCTCTAATTGCTAGTGATGTTGAACATTTTTTCATATGTTTGTTGATTGATTATATATCCTCTTCTGAGAAGTGTCTGTTCAGTTCCTTGGCCCATTTATTGTTGGGTTTTTTGTTTTTTTTTTTTGATGTTAAGGTTTTTGGGTGCTTTGCATATCCTAGATATTAGTGCTCTATCTGATGTGCTTGTGGTAAATATTTGCTCACATTCTATAGTCCGTCTATTTTACCTCACTGATTATTTCTTTTTATGAAAAGAAGCTTTTTAGTTTAAATCCATTCCATTTATTTATTCTTGATTTTAATTCTTGTACTACAGGAGTTTTATTAAGAAAGTTGGGGCCTAATCTTACATGATGGAGATTTGGGCCTACTTTTTGATCCATTAGGTGAAAGGTCTCTGGTTTAATTCCTAGGTGCTTGATTCACTTTGAGTTGAGTTTTGTGCATGGTGAGAGATAGAGATTTAATTCCATTTTGTTACATGTGGATTTCCAGTTTTCCCAGCACCATTTGTTAAAGAGGCTATCTTTTCTCCAATGTATATTTTTGGCACCTTTGTCTAATATAAGATAACTGAATTCATGTCCTCTATTCTATACCATTGGTCTACAGGTCTATTTTGGTGCCAATACCATGCTGTTTTTGTTACTGTTGCTCAGTAGTATAGTTTTAGGTCTGGAATAGTGATGCCACCAGCTTCACACAGTCTTTTGATTTTAAATATCATTTGAGTGCTGAAGATGATTTCTAGTTTCCATCTGTAGGATATTGTCATCTCAAACTCCCTGCTGAACTGACTCCCTTGGGATGATGACTCATGGGCATTTCACATTCGAAATGTTCAAAACATAATTTTTGATTTTCTACTGCTCCTTTACCTGCTCCTACTCCCACCACCCCCCAGTCTAATTAATAGGCCACACCAGTCTCCTGATCGCTAAGGTTAAGAACTTTGACATCATCCTTAATTAGTCTTTTCCTTTTTTTCATCATATCTGATCCATTGGCAATTCTTATCAGCTCTGCATGCCCATTACATGCTAAATCTTTCTGCTTTCCCATGCTACCATCCTTGCTGAGCCTACATCATCTCTCACCTGGTATCCTTATTTGCTTTCTTGCCTGCCTCTAATCCATTCTTGCCTGCCTCTAATCCATTCTCCACAGCAGCCAGTTAAATAGACATCTGTTGAAAATGTAAATTGGATCTCATCATTCCTTCTGCTGCAAACTTTCAGTGACCTCTCTTCATTTTTAGCATAAAATTTGCATTTAATGCTGTTTTATATGATCCTTACTTATCTCTCTAACCTTCATTTCTGTGCTTCCTGCTCTCACTGTCCCCTTTGCTTTCTCTGGGCTAATCCCATTGGTCTTGCTATTCCTTATAGATATCAAGCTTAACTAAGTGCCTTTGCATTTGCTGTTCTCTTTGCCCTAAGTATTCTTCTTCCAGAACTTCACAGGCCTTACTCCTTTATCCAGAGTTTGGCCAAATGCTATCTCCTTATAGAGACCTTCTCTGTGTATTCTAGTCAAATAATCTTTTCTCCTCATCCAATCACTGCCTATTTATTTATACTACACTATTTTATTTATACACCTGCTACTATTTGTTGATACGTTTGTTTCCTGTCTTTCCTGTTAGAAAGTAACATCTATTTTATCACTAACCCTTAGAATATATTACATGTATATATATATTATAGTATTCACGTAATAAGAATGAATGAATGGATATGTAAGGAATAATGAAGAGTAAGGGATTACCTAGCTTAATGATCACTTTCATACAGAAGTTAGAATGTTAATCAGGAGAAAGTGGAAGGGAAAATTGAATGCCTACTCTGTCCTACCAAAATTTCAGTTTTATGATATAAATTTATTTATTTATCCATGATGTCCCCAAATAGAAACTCTATACCAGCAGATTTTTTTTTTACACTGTATCTCTAGCACCAGCACAGTACTTGGTACATAGTAAGCCCTCCATAATTGAGAATAATAAATGAATGAATTGGGTGTCAGTAGACCTAAGACTGAACTTCATCTTAACCACTATCCTACTGAGTAAAATGAGCTAGCCATTTTCTCTCTCTGGGTCTCAGTTTGCCCCTCTGTGTGGTGAGGGCTTTGTGCCAGAAAATCTCCAATGAGATCACCCAGTCTAGACATTTTTAAGAACTTTTTTAGACTGATATATAATTTAAATGCCATAAAATTCACTCCTCTAAATTGTACAGCTCAGTAATTTTATTACATTTTGTACAGCCATCTCATTCCAGAACATTTTCATTACCATATTTTCCAATTTCCATTCCCCATAACCCTTGACTATTACAATCTACTTTCTGTCTCTACAGATTTGCCTATCCTGAACATTTCATATTAATTGAATCACATACTATGAAGATGTTTGTGGCTGACAAATCATTTCACTTATTATAATGTATTCAAAATTCATCCACATTGTAGCATGTATCATTTATTCATTCTTTTTTATTGTCAAATAATATTTCATTCATCATTTGATAGTTGAGTACTATTTACTTTTTTAGCTATTATAATGCTTCTGTGAGCATCCATGTACAGGTTTTGTGTGAATGTCTTTCAATTAAGTATATACCTAGAATGAAATTTTTTGGGTCATATGGTTACTCTGTATTAAAACTTTTAAAGAATAGCCAAGCTATTTTCCAAGCAGATACACCATTTTACTTTCCTACTGGCAATGGTTGAGATTTCTAATTTTTCTGCATCTTCACCAACACCTATCATATCCTGACTTTGATTCCAGGCATCCAAAGTGGATAAAAATCCACAGTCTCAATTAATGTTTAACATTTGTGTGTGAAATATTTATGTGGAGCTCTCTTTTGTAGGGCAAGCATTGGAAACTCAAAAGTGGGTTATTTTCCAAGTTAACTATAGCTGCTAAATGACAGAACAGCAATTTGTACCCATCTATCTTATCCTAAAGTACTATTACCTACTATAAAAATGGTGTGTTTCATATGACTTGTCTGAATATTGTTCTAAGAAGGAAACAATCCTTCTGCTTACTACCATTCTTTATCAGTAATATTTCATTTCCTTACTCCGAACACTATTTTTTTTATAAATAGTATTTCAGTGAATCGAATCCCTCCACAATCATTATGGGCTCCTTCATAACCCCATATCTAAGTCATGGCCATTCGACCTCTTTAATATCTCTTGATTATCTTTTGGTGATTTCATTCCAGGTTAGATACTACTCATCAACTAACCCCCCCCACTTCCAGTCTCTCTGGTCCAATCTGATTTTCATAATGAACCCAGAGGTATGTTCTAAAAAAACATATTTGAGAATGCTGCTTCTCTGTCACCCAAAAAGTAATTATCCCTTGTGGCCTAAAGATGAAGTACATATTCGTGAGGATGGCATCTATGATCTTTATGATATAGTTCCAATCCGTCTTAACAACCTCATCTTCTTTTAGTCACAGATTCTCAAGTCAAACTAAACATTTTTAAAATTTTTTCTCAGATAAACCCTGATCTTTGAATCTTCCAAGTTATTATTTGTGTGAACAATCTTGTTTTATCTATGCCCCTACCCAATCCCCAACCAGACATCAGGTCATTTCATCTGTGTTTCAGTATGTATCTCTAAAAATAAGGACTCTTTTTTTTTAACTAAAACAACAATTATTATCAGTCTATCTAAAAGAAAGTGATAATACCGCAAGATCAAATATCTAGTCAGTATCCAAATTCTCCTATTGTCTCATATTTATTTTTTAAAAAATGGAATCCATCTGTTGCAACAGACCAGTACAGCTCTCAGGAATCATTTTGCTGGCCAGAAGTATGTTTTCTACCACTAAATTCTGATCTACATTTTCTATTGCTAAAGAAGATGACAATTCCCTTGCAGCAGGTTCAGTCTGGGGAGTTATTGATAACTTCAGGGAATTCTGTGGGTCACTTAAAATTAATTTTTTAAGTTTTGACTGTATTTATGTAGGTTAATTTTTCTAGGCAAGAGTACCTGGCTCTCATTATAGTTTTAGAAGCTCTAAGTAAGACTCAGAGTCACTGAAAAGCTTGCACTAATGTCAGAGGAAATTGTAGACCACAAAGGCTAGAGGAAGAACATAAAGTGGCTTTTTGAGGGTTTCTTTATGGGGGTGGAGAAAGAAGTTAAATTCTGCTATATTTATTAACTTGAAATTTGAGAAACATTAACAAATTACTTTTGAGAAAATAGTTAAGAATTAACTCATGTCTTTATTTAGAAAGAATAGAATATGAAATTCATTGGGGACGCTAAGTCCCTTTTGAATTCATTCCCCTTTGAATAAAACAGCCTAGTTTATTGTGGTTTGCTGAATTCTGGTGGTGAAAATCATACTCAGATCTTGAATTGAATTCCTTATTTAGATGGGACCTGTGACTCCTCATGAATTAGGAAGGGCAGAGCCTAATCTTGTGGGTTATAATTTATTTGTGCCACAGTGTATATAGCAGTTTTGAAAATGTGTACAACTTTTAAAAATTAGGAACATATGCATATATCAAAATGAAAGGGTTTTAGAGATTATCACTAATCCTTCCTCTTTGCACCAACTTTTCTCAGATGAAATCCAACATCAAACACCTAATGGTACTATCACTATCAACCTAGAACCCCCGAAGCTGCCACAACACCTCAAACTACCTATGCAGAGGAGTGGGGAAGCTGATCCCGGGAGAAAGTCTCCAAGCAGGCTTATTTCAGATGGCAAATTGGAGCCGTGCCCTGAGGTGGATGTGGGGAAGTTGGTGTCTAGGATACAGGATGGAGGGACCAAGACTACCCCAAAGGCCACCAATGGACCACTTCCAGGCCCTGGCCCCACAAAGACCCCTTCTTTACACATAAAGAGACCAGCTCCCCGACCCCTGGCTCACCACAAGGAAGGTAAGTACTTGGGAATCCCAAGGGATTCAGAACTAAACCCATATACTTTTCACCTTGAGATCCTTCCAGGATTGGAAATATCATAAGTGGGAATGTGTTCCACTTTACTAGAACTCATTCTGGAATGGTGGTTGAGACCACAGAAACATTCACAATAATCACTAGAATGTAAGCTCTACGAGAGCAGGGACTTGAGGCCTGTTTTCTTTTCTTCCATATTCCAAGTACCTAGAACAATGTCTTGCTGGCACATAGTAAGTACTTGTTTCTATTGCCATTTATTAAGTATCTTCTGTGTACCTAGCATTGTATTAAGTCCTAAGTTTTATTATCCTCATGACCCTTTTGTGAAGAAAGTATTATTCATGTTTCAGTTAGAAAACTGAAGATCCTAGAAATAAGTAAATTCCCAGAGAATCACATGGTAACTGGCAGAGCTGGAATCTAAATCTTAGCACATCTTGCAGGTGCCAAAAATCTGTGTTCTTTCCATGAATGCAGAACCCTCGTTTTGCCTTCTGATAAGAAACTTTGAATCTGTGAACCACTGTTTTCTCATTCTCATTTTCTCATTTGGGAGAAATAAGGACAAAGGGATACAGCTTCTGTTCGTCTACACTTTTAAAATCATTACAAATTCTAGATGTAGTTGACTTCTACAATCTTTGTAAGCTATACACATGGGGGCACATAGTGAGAGGAAGGCGCTGATCCAGAGGGAAGTTTGAGAATATGATTTCTATGAAAATAGTATGGTATAATGAAAATATAGACTTTATTCTCAGAGGATTGAATCCAAATTCTGGCTCTTTTACTTTGTATCCGGATGACCTTCTTAACATGTGCCTTATGTATTTGTATCCTCTCCTATTCTAGAAAGGATTTAAGGCATTTCACAATATAGCCAAATATAAGAGAGAAGGGAAAGGATATGCAAATGGTAGGAGACCTTCAATGATACACAAAAGTATAAGAGGTTATGATGGGCTAGGGGGAGGGGGAAAAAGGGAGAGAATTGACCAACAGCAGAGGAGGCAGAGAGGGAAGGTGGGAGGGGAGGGGAGGGGGGATAGTAGGGGATAGGAAAGGTAGCAGATTAAAACAGTCACTAATATGCCATTAGGTAAAAATGTGAGTATGTAACAGATGTGATTCTGCTATCTGTATTTGGGGTAGAAATGGGAGTTCAAAACCCAATGGAGTCAAATGTATGAAAGATGATTTATCAAGAGCTCTGTAATGTATGGAACAATCAATAAAAAAATGTAAAATAGTAAGAATAATGCATCTGGAAACTATTGGCTGGGTACTAATAGTGTACTTGGTCCCATCCTAGGTGCTGAGGACACAGAAATCAATTATACAAGGTCCCTGTCCTCTATAGGCTTAGAATAGAGCATGACAAACTATGATATGTGGGCCAGATCAGACCCATTGCCTCTTTTTTATTTAATCTTTATTTGTTCTAATTAGTTATATATGACAATAGAATGCATTCTGACTCATTGTACATAAATGGAGTATAACTTCTTCTTCTGGTTATACATGATGTAGAGTTACACAGGTCATGTAACTATATACGTACATAGGGTATTAATGCCCAATTAGGGTAATAATGTCCAATTCATTCTACTATCTTTCTTACCCCCATTCCTCCTCCCCTCCCTTCACTCCCCTCTGCCTAATCCAAAGTACCTCTTTCTTATATGGCCCACAAGCTAAGAATGTTTTTGATATATTTAAATGTTAAGAAAAGATTCAGTTTTTATGATGAATAAAAATTATCTGAAATTCAAATTTGTTTCTTTAACATAAATATACCCCTTCATTTACATAGTGTTTAGGGCTGCTTTCAATTTATAACAAATTGAGAAGAAAAACAGAAACTTTATGGCCCTGCAAAGCCTAAAATGTTAACTATGTGACCCTTTACAGAAAAAGGTTGCTGACCCTTGCCTGAGATTCTAGAGCACAGGCAAGAAAAATGAATTCTAGAGCAGGGACATGGGAAGATAGGATAGGAGGGAAATAACAGGAAAGGAATCAGTACACAAAATGTTTGCCATGAAACTTTACACACTTACTGGAATAGCGTCACAGAGTTGGCTGCAAACTTTCTAGAGAAAACAAGAAGAAAGAAACCTCAACTGTTATATAATTCCAAGTTCTTAAGGGAAAAATAGCCTGTTGTTCAGGTAAAACATAACTTTTCTGTTTTGGAGGCCAGGAAAATTTTTCTTCTGTAGACTGTGGCATATAACAACCTCACTGTGGGCCAATGGCATTGTCTCAGAGGACAATTTAGTGAAAGTCTATTCTGTGTGGGGGCTGGTACACATTTTATGAAGTAATTGACCCTATGAATTTTCTGGCTGGATCCTTTGATGCATCCATGTGTTATTTAACCTCTTTGCACATTGGTTTCCATATCTGTAAAATGGGAGAAACAGCTCACCCCACAGAATTATTGCTATGATAAAAAGGAATAAGAAAATATCTGGCATAACCAGCCTATAAAATATGATACTGATTCTCTTCCCCTGTCCCTCCCTTCCTAAGATTTGCCTCTTCTGGGAAGTAGAGCCGAAAAAAATAAATAAAGGCCAGGACAAAAAAAAAAAATAAAGGCCAGACTTCTATGTGGACATCTGCTTCAGTTTATAATTTATATATTGACCTTCATATCAATCTGCTAGAAAGTTGGATAACTCCACTTACACTCATTACAGTAAAATTTGTCTTGCCTGTCGCCAAACCTTGAGATCAGCCAGGTTCTATCAGCTCTTCAGAAGAAGTTATTTATCCCTCCCTATCATTTCTACCCTTACAATCTTCTACTTCAAATTCAATCCCAGTGGCCTTCTCTTCTTCCCCTTCCTCCACAGTACCATCCTCTGGGTGCTGGTGGCAGCTGGCTGTCATTTAATGATGTCAGTTAATATAAGTACTGATCTGACTTGTCTAGTATCAGTCAGACTATCTAAATCTAGGATGCAGCATTGCCAGGCTTTGATTTCTGCCCTAAATCAGTTAGCCACAGGCTGAAATGATTCAGCTTTTTTTCAAAGGCCTCTAGCCTTGGCCACAGAATACAGAACTGAAGTGTCTTTGGCCTTGGTGGAAGATTAGCCACACCTCTGGGGTAGTTGCCTCTTTAAACCTTACCCAGGCCACCACCTCACCACTGCCTCCCTTTCTCCCTCATGATTCTGGCTGCCATGCTGGTGGATTCATAGGTATCAGAATAGTTATCAGTTAGGAAAACTCTGCAAATAGCCATGACCCTGAGCTATAGGTGGTGGTTGTTAACCCTTGTGCTAACAGAATCACAGGAAGAAGCTGTCAAGTCAGCTGACCCACTCTGAACCTCCAAGTTGTCACTCCATTTCAGCTCCATTCTCTAGGATGCTTTATTACTTTAGGGATCCAAATGTGCCACTATCCTGACACCCATCTTCACTTCTTCCAGTGATCCACCATTTAAGTGGACTTGATATTCTGCACATTTTTTTCCTCAGCAATTAAAAAGAATAAAAGCATGGTGCCTGTTAAATTGCCTTCTTCCATGACAGTCAGCTTTACAATAAAATCAATATTGTTTGCTGGTGGAATTTTATCAAGGGCCCTTTTCTGTTCCAGACATAAGCTGGATATTTTTTCATCTTCTATTTCATCTAATCATTGTGACAAGCCTGTGAGGCAGGTTTTACTGTTCCCATTGCACAGATGGAAAAACAGGCTCAGAGACATGAAACAACTTGCCCAGAGGAATTCAGATTGTAAAGTAGATATGGGGGTTGAACCCAGATCAGCTTGTTTATACCACATTTCAATTCAGCTGTTTAAGGTACCTTCTCCTTTCTATTTTTTTTCCCCAAAAGACACTCACTTTGGGAGTGACAAAATTATAACATCCCTTTACCTTTTCATTTGATGTTACTTCTTCTTACCATTTCTGGATGTGCAAAAGGCATGTGTAGTTCCCACAGAGGAATTTAGGACTTTCCTTGGGGAATAAAGAGGCAGGAGGGCTATTTCCCATTTACTTACATGTATTTGCTCATTTATTCATACAATGCTAAGCAATGAGAGTGACCATGATCTTGCCTTCTGATGGATTATAGTGAGTCTGGCATGTAAGCAGCCAGTCGCAGCCCAGTATGATCCATGATCTACTGGTGGAGAGAATAAGTTTCAGTAGGCACATGGGGCAAGGAGTTCTTCATTCTGCCTAAGGTATTGAGATAAAAGTGGAGAGCACACTGCTCACTATAACCCTATGATTTAGGAACCCTTCTTAGCTCTTTTCCTCTGTCTTGAGAGAAAAGACTACATCAACTGAGGTCCTCCTGTGATTGCAGGAAGGATACTTCCAAGGTTTTTCTCAGTCATAAGGCCATCAATTCTCTACTGGGGTGACTAATAGTATAAGTGGCATTTCCATCTGCTCTAAAAGTATTAGGAACAGACTTGCTCCTGCAGTAATGGGCGTTGCTGGCCATTATCCATATTTTCTTGTTTGGACTCATGCTTTAATAATCTATTGTTTGATTTTAAATCTCTGTCCTAACTGCAGTGTAACTCCAACTTGTTCTTCATGGATAATTAATGGTTAAGGCTTTAGGGGAGCATGGAAAAGTGTCATAGGAAGAGATTCTTCTAGAAAACTGGGAGACTCTTCGAGTGGAAACAATCTTTCCCTACTGTCTCAGGTTAAGTGTAGATAGGTAAAAGGAAAGTTGGAAGAATGTTGCTTAAGATTGAAGACTAATCACCATCAGGTCCCCAAAAATCTGCAAATTATGATTTTTTGGTTATCTTCATTTGACAGAGAATTAGAGAGGAAAACAAATGATTAGATTGGAGAAGGAGATCCAATTTAGAGTATTAGCCAAATTTTCAACCAAAGTTAAGAAAAAAATTAAAAGGAAAAACAGGTGGAAAGACTATAGGCTCAAGAGGCTTAGTGGTCCTTAGTGGTCTTAGTGGCCAGGTTCCAGAGTGTTCCAGCTATGAGTCTGAATCTTGGATATACCCCTTCCAATCTGTAGGACATTGGGCAGTTCATAACCTCTCTGAATCTTGGGTTTGTCCTTCTTATAATGAGGCTAATAACTGTGTCCATTGGAATGCTATAATGATGAAGGGAGACAGGTGTGTGCCTGGCACATCATGAGTACTCAGAAACAGTAGCGGGTTTTTTGCCCTTATTAGAGGTTTTACTAGCTGCACAGTTTTCGTTAGGTCAGCTTCACATCTCTGAGTCTTATCTTCCCAGTGGAATTAGAGACAACACCTCTATTGCAGGCAGGTAAGATTTTTGTGGGGAATACGTTAGTTGAGGTATAAAAGCAAATAGTAAGAAATGGTGGGCATGGAAAATAGGGCTGTCTGCTATTCTGATTATGGACCATGAGACACCTGAGGCCCAAAATGTAGATGGCATAAAAGTACTCAGAGTGAACATGCAGAAAGAGGCATTATTTAGGGAAGGAGAAGAGGAGGGTTCTTAGCCGTTCCATTAGCTTCAGATCAAGTCTTCTTTGGTCCAAGAAACTTCCTGACAATCCTGTTCTAGGGAACTCTCCCTTAACCCATTCCTTGGGCATCTAAATTTGTCCCTCTAATGTGGATACTGAGTGATAGGGTTCACTCTTAGCTCATGTGAGTATGTCAACTCTTCCCAACTTCTTAAGAAGCCAGGGAACAATTGTGAGAATTCTTCATGAGAGCATAAGATGGGGCCTCAAAAAACTCCTGATATATTGAATACCTTTCATCTTGGGTTACAGAATAGATCTGAATCTTGTTTATATTATGTTTGTGTATGTTACATGTAGCCCATTGGGTTCCTAAAAAGGGAAAGCTTTCTTTGCTGTCCTTCTAGTAGACTGAAGTGCAATTTTTTTACTCAATAAATATTTGTTAAATATTCACCAGTTTTATGCAAAGCAAACTACTTGGGTCTCTCGGGAATACAAAGATGAATGCCACCTGTATCTTGCTCTCAGAATGCTCCAATTTTAATAGGACAGATAGAGCCATGAAAACAAAGATCCAAACTACAGAATTCAAAGTACAAGATGATCAATGCCTTAAGAGCCAGAGAAAGAACTTGGAGCATTTTAAACTTCTGAAGATACAAATTTGAGCATGAGGGAATAGGGTAAATAGCATCTTAGAAAGACATAATTAATTGTAAGGCATATACATGGAACAATAAATACTACTGCTTGAATTATAGGATATGTGAAGAAGAATGGTACAAAATTAGATCAGAAAGGAGAATTGAAGCCAAATGGAAGTGGGTCACAATTGCCAGGTTAAACATGTCAGGGTATATTCTGTGGACAGCAAGGAGCCATGAAGTCTAAATCTTCTGAGAAAGAGAGGCAGAATACATTGGGGTTTCTAGAGTACTCCCAATGTAGCATGTAAAAGTCAGCAGGGAGAGATAGAAGTCTAAAGACATATCATAGGCTGATTCATCTGGACAACAGTCCAACCCCATGTTGTATTGTAGGGAAGTGATCTGCTAAAGATCATACAGCTTAGTTTTAGGACGAAGACTATATTTCAGGTTTCTTGACTCCAAGTTATATGACTCTTTCCTCCCAGCCTCACCAGTTTGACATTGTGCTTTAGCAGTGACTGAGACAAATTTGAGGAAAGAAAGAACAACATTGGGGTCTTTCAGCCAAGAAAACCCTTTGCTGTCACTTCAAAATCATACTTGTTATGAATCATCAAGTTAAACCTGCAAATAAAGGTCAAAAGCAGACACAAGGTTCATGATGTTTGTTTCCTAAGGCCCTATTTTGATGTCCATTTGGATATGACTGTGAGTCAGGAATGAATGGGGTTCATATTTAGGTGGTGTCATGTTGTTTACTCATCAAGGGGAATTCGAGCCCTAGGATGGACATGGCTTCAGGTAGGAAATGTTTTCTGGCTCTGAGTGTGTGGCGCATCCTTCCTGCCCAACTCTCTTCCAGTAGGTAGTAGAAATGTGACAGTATTGTCTTCTCTGGTAATCTCTAAACTACAGTGAAGAAGCAGTTGTATGGCCTGGAGTTTCTCAACCCTGGCTGCACATCACACCATCTGGGGAGCATTTAAAATATACACGCCCAGATCCTACTCCAGTCAATTAAACTAGAACGTCTCAGGAGGATACCCAGGTATTATATAAATTTAAAGCTCTTCACAAATTCCTGATGTGTAGCCAGGGTTGATAACTACTGGTAGTTGGGACAACATGGGTTTCGGAAATCAAATGAAGCTGGTTTTATTGTTGATAAACTATGAGGTTACTACTTACCTTGGAATTTCTTTTCCTCATCTGTAGAATAGGGGCAATATTTTCTGTACAATTATGGCCAATATTAAATGGGAAAAATAGGCATAAAGTGCTGAGTACAGAATCATAGTACCTACAACAGAATAGGTGTTCAATAACAAGTTAGATAATTTATTTTACTGGTATTATTTTATTACCACTGTCATTTTTATCATTTATAATTTTATATTCCTAATAATAACAACAAAACTGCAGATACTGGGGAAATCACTTGATATAGAGACAAGAGATATAAGACAAGAGATGTAGGTTTCAGTCCTCACTCTATCAGTTATCTGAGTATGTAGTTGTGGGTGAATTAGTTTACCTTTCAGAACCTCAGTTGCCTTCTCTGTGAAATGCAGATAATAAGACCTATCTATTCTTCTTTCCCAAGTTTATTTTGAACAAATATTTATCATCTGGAAGAGTGCTTTGAACAGGATGATACTTTTTGGAAAAAAATGGATGATTATCATTTTGATTATTTTTTCCTAATGTAATTCTGTATTTTCAGCCTGGGCTAAAGGGAATGGTGTGCCCAGAAATATAAGATGCAGACTACATTGGGAGAAAGAATTTATGTATGCCCATGTATAATGTTTTGGTAATTTTTTCATCAGAACATAAATCACACTATATTATCATTATCTCTGTGAATACCTGTCTCACCAGAATGCCTAGGTGGATGGATTTAAAAAAAAAAAAAACACCAATATCTAAGCACTTCAGGAACATTTACACAAATGGAAATTATATTTGTGTGCTGTGTCCAGAGGTGTGAGATTTGCACTATATCTTTAGGGATGATTATAATATAGGTGAGACATGAGATCAGGGGCACATAATAGTGAAAAAAAGCAGGGAAAAGTATATCAATTACCCTGTGTGCTAGACACTACCTATAGGGCATACAGACAATGTGTGTGTGTGTGTGTGTGTGTGTGTGTGTGTGTGTGTGTGTGTGTAAAACTAAATTGGAAGCAGGCACTGTGGCAAATGCCTGTAATCCCAGCCTCAGCAACTTGGGGAGACCCTAAGTAACTTATTGAGACCCTGTTTCTAAATAAAAAAAAAATAAAAAGGGCTGGAGATATGGTCTCTGGGTTCAATCCCTGGTACAAAGAAAAAAATAAATTAAATAATTTACTTCTTAAAATCACCTTGAAAGCAGGGTTAATTATATTCATTTCCCAGATGAGGCAATTGTAGTCAAAGAGGTGAAGTAATCGTCCATGGTCCCACAGGTAGGAAGTAGCATAACAGAACAAAGCCCCAAAGCCAGGAGGTCTGCACAATTCCAAACTCTTTGTTCTTTCTATTATAACATATTATCTTACCTTTAAGTAAGAGTCAAGGGCTTGCTCAGATAAGGTGGTGAGACCAGTTTGATTTTAGTTGAGCTGGTGATTAAAGTTAAAGTTCAGGGTTTGTCCTTGGGACAGTGATTTGAAACTAGGCTTATGGAGGACTCTGAATTTACATTAAGAGTTTTGAAATTTATCCTGTGAATTTTTGAGCTTTTTGAAAGGTGTTAAATAGAGAGGAAACAGTATAAATAAAGTAAACCTTACAACAGTAGCATATGAATTCAATTTAGTGTTTTATATTTACCTTGAACATTTTAGTAGAAAAAAATTGAATATCAGTATCTACTCACAAAAATTAATCAAATAACAAGATCTGCTAACGCCCTTGCAAAATTGTGTGTCTACTTCAATATTGTCTGCATCAGGCTATGAGCAGTTTTTGTGGACATTTTTTTGTCACTTGATATTATTTTACAAGCATGTTTTTGTTTTGAGCTTGTCCAAATCCTTGTTAGTTTATGTATAATATGTTTGGTTAAATGCTTGTAAGAATCAAATTGTTTGCTTAACTTTTGGGGTTGGCTCTGACTTTTTTTCTGTTAAGATACATGTGTTTGTGCCAATTGTTTTTTCTTTTTGTCTTGGATTAATTCTTTTGGGCCTGTCTCTCAAAGTGGAATTACTGGATCAATGAGTCCAAACTATCTCATATGTATGATGTTGTAGTTATCCACATTGTTCTAGAATGCTTAATGAGTATTTAGACAAAATAAAACTAGTTACAGTGGCACCAGCAATGTGTTAGTGCTCTCATTTCACCATTTTGTAAGAAAGTATTTATATTTAATATGTACTGCCAACCTGGAAGCTAGAGAAATAGAGGTAAGAAGTGACTTAGGAGAGTATTATAATAATCAAGACCTAAGTTGAAAGGACCTGAATATCTGTGATGATGAATTTGTCAAATTCAAATTCACTATCAAACATTGTTAAACATATCAATACCTAATTTAATTGTCTCAATACCTCTGTAAGATAATGTGGTCTTAATCTTGATTATATGGTTGAGAAAAAAGAGACTTAGGAAGTTATATGACAAAACCAAGGTTTACTAAGTTATGGATCCTAGGGTTCAAACATAGACTTTCTGAAGGGACAGCTGGCAGAAAAAGACAGAGATTTTGGTGATGAAGAAGAAATGGAGGCCAAGGAAAATGGCTTCATAACTTGATTATTGGGTTCCTGTTCCTGAGTTTGTTTTATTTGGCTAATTATTCAAGTCTCTGGTATTGTTCTTTCTTCTAGGGGATACTGACAGTGTCAGCAAAGTGCGGCCTCCAGGAGAAAAGCCAACGATCATCCGTCCCCCAGTGAGACCCCCAGACCCTCCCAGCCGGGCAGCTACTCCCCAAAAGCCAGAACCAAAGCCAGATATTATAGCTGGCAATGCAGGGGAAATCCCATCATCTGTGTAAGTAGGGTTGTTCCTCAGTTTGACCTAGTGCCTATCTTAGGTGACCAGAAATGCTTTCAGGATCAACATATGGAATGTATATAATGCACAACTCTGGGGCATCATTCACTTTGTAGTCTAGGGGAATATAGGCCAGCCCTGTTTGAAGTATCCCATTCAGCACTCAAAGCTGAGATTTTCCTATGGATGAAGGCTTTGATTCTTAGTATCTATCAGAAGACTCATTTTTCTTAGCTGCCCTGATTTATGTAGGGTGATAAAATCACTTTCTGATTTTAACCCACATGGCTTTGGAACTTACTTTCTTTCTCTTTTTTTGGCAATTTATGTATATTCTTTGTGTATTTTAGCTTTAAAATAAATTTTGCACAATATGTCAGTGTATTTCTGAGAAGTTGAACAGTTATTAAAAAAAGCTATTATCATCTGACTACTGGAAAAATAAAACAACAAAAAAAACTGAATTACAATAATCCATCTCAGCAAACTTTTCCAATTCAAATTAGAAGGGCTCCAATTTATAAATCTCTTTTGAAAGGACAATATTAATGCAATGTACATAAGAACATCTAATTAACATAATAAAAATAAACCACAATTTTGTTATATAAATTCACCCATTTATTATAACCTAGGGATGTCTCAAATGGTAGAACTTCTACAGGTCTTTCAATTCCTTCAGCCTTCTGATTGCAGACTTGACTGTGATGGCAGAAGTGGTGTTGTAGGTCCAGGCTCCATAAGCCTCTGTTTTCATGGAGGAACCACAGTACTAGATCCCCACAGCCGTCTCTTTATCTTGTTTTTGCCACAGAAGGAGCAAATGTACTTGGCATGCTGGCTAATTTTAATTTTCTTCACCATTTTCAAGAAGGAGGCAGCATAGCAGGTCCCATATTGAACCAATGATTCCAACCTTCTTAGTGTGTTCATCCATATTGCCGTGACTTAGGCTCTAGCCCAGAAAATGGAACTTACTTTCTTATTTTCTTGTTATTGCTACTGGCTTTAAAAGTAATTTAATGAACACATTAAAAAAAAAAAACTTTCAAAGTCCTCCAAAATGACTCAGGTTCTCCAGAGAGCCTCTTACAGGGTAGGAGCTGAGCTGACATCCAGCAGGCTTTCATGAAGCTGGGCTGTAAGCCACGGAACCAGGGAAGGAACAGCCAGGATGGGACCACAGCAGCACTCAGGGACTAGCCTGGCTGGTCTTTAGCCAGTGACTGGGACTTCTTTCAGCAATACTACCTCCTGACCTTCCTTTTTCTTGTATCACTTGCTTTTCATAATTGTAAAATTGGGGAAAGAAGAGCAAAACCTCCACTATTCCAGATAATTAGCTACATATATTTACTAAATGCCAAAAAATATACTTTGAAACCCAAGACTAATTTCACATATTTAATTTCACATATTTTCCCCAAGAAAAGCTGAAGTGGGCAATAAAGTTTGACCATTTAGGACCCACAGGGAGCAAATGGGTTCATCTGTGGTCTTTCAGGTGACTCTGGGCTCAGAGCCATTATACATAACTTTTTTTTTTCTTTTTTTCTATCTTCTTCTTCTTTTTTTTTTTTTCTTGTAATGGGGATTGAACCCAGGGGCACTTAACCACTGGGTGACATTCCCAGCCCTTTTTGTATTTTATTTAGAGACACAGTCTCACTGAGTTGCTTAGTGACCCTCTGAGTTGCTGAGGTTGGCTTTGAACTGTTATCCTCTTGCCTCAGCCTCCCTAGTTGCTTAGATAACAGGCATATACTACTACACTCAGCTTGGCCATTACACATTCTGATATTTGGGTTTCTCCTGAGACCCAGGCCCATTGCTGGCAAAGGCAAGGCCTCGCATTGGCTGCCTATTTAGTTCAGTCTTTTGTCCTTTTCATTGGTCATTGGTTTTCACATGTATTCCAGAACAACTCATGGGACTTAATTGACTTCTGTTTGCAGGGTGGCTTCCAGGACCCGGTTCTTTGAAACAGCTTCCCGGAAAACAGGAAGGTAAGAGACAAAAGGAACAGAAGAGAAACCAAATCATTTTTTAATAAATGCATTATGAACATCCCATGGGTCCTTGCTCTTACCTTCTTTTGTTCTCTTTCTCTATAGAATACTCTCTATTTCCTGCAACTTTGAATTTTCATCTCTTTCTCTCACTTGTGTCTCTCATGCTTTTTCTCACTTAGTGTCTCTCATTCTGTCTCTTTCTGTTACTCTTTCTATTTCCTCTGTGTTTCTTTCTTTATGTCCCTGTCCCTGTTTATCTGTTTTTCTTTCCCTATGTCTCTCATATGTCTCTTTGCCTCGTCCTTCCACTTTCTTTCTCTCTCACAAATATGTGCATGCACACACACACACACACACTCATGCATACACACCAGACTATACTGCAGAAGCTCATATCCAATGTAGATCTTCTTTTTGTTTGTTTGTTTTACTTATCTAGACCCTGTTAAATTCTCAAAGGGCAACTGATAGGAACATGTAGAGTATAGTACTCTACCTTAAATAGCCTTAGAATAAGCATGGCTCCCATTTCAAAGATAAATAGTAGCCTCAGATAATGGTTCTCAAACTTAGTGCATATCTAAATCACCTGCAAAAACTGGAGGGAAAAAAATCAAAGATTCCTGGCTTCTATTCTAGACCTGCTAAAGCAGAATTTCTAGGAGTACAGACTAGAGATCTGTTTTTTGTCTGTTTGTTTTATTTTCTTTTCTCCTTCCTTCCTTCCTCCCTCCCTCCCTCCCTCCCTCCCTTCCTTCCTTCCTTCCTTCCTTATTTTCTGACTCCCTCCTTCCATTCCTTCCAGTTGTGTTTAAAACTTCTCAAGTTCTGGAACAAACTGATCAATCCCTGGGCATTTGGGGCCCTTTGGACTAGAACCTGGAGAAATGGTTGCTTAGCCTTTAAGGTATTTTCTGTGAGTTGTTCATGTTGTTATTGAGAGAGTTTTAAATTGTACTCCCTAAAATGTAATGGAAGTGTTGTTACTCTTCTAGGTGGTAAGTCAAAAGCAAAATAATTCACCTTTTCCAGCAATTCAGCTTGGGATAGGTTAGATAGGTTAGTCAAAACTGTAGATCTAGACTTACCAAGACCTAGTTCTGCATAAGAAACCCTAGTACTGTGAGCCACAGGGAGCTATAGGCTGGGCCAAATTCTCCTTAGGCATGATTTTCCATTTGTTCTACCATAACAGATGAAAGTTAAGTCAAGGCCCCAGATTTCTCTTACAAATAGCATGAAGATGAAAGGTTTTACCATGGAGGTTTTCAAAAAGGCTTGCCTTGAGAATGAAAAGAAATAAGAGATAAAGAAGCGAGAAAGAATAGGCATGCCTAATATTCTTAATGATGTACCCCTCCAGCAAGACAATTTCCTGGTCAACCCCCCCCCAGGGAAAGCCTTTTAAGAAATGAATACCAAGGAACTTGAACAATGTAAACTGGAATGAACAGAATACAATGGGAATGTCTAAATGAAAAACTTTTTTAGAAGTGATGATTATCTAAGCTGGAGCTTGAAGGATAAGTAAAAATGTACAGAAAAAATGTTATGGGATTGAACTGCATCTATAGATGGGAACCAAGGCTTTGAGAAGGGAATATGTGAGAGGCATGAACAAAATTCAATAGAATCTTCAGGGCAGGCAGACTTTCAATAGGGAAGCAATAGACAAACTAGTGTTGAGTGTGTACAAGTCTGATAACATTGCCAATTGGGTGGGCTTTGTCAGCCAGTGCTCAGGGAAGCCTTAGAGCAACTATAACTCAAGTGGGCTGTGACCAAATCAGGCCCTTCAGGACACTGTACTACTCTATCTATCCTATATTCACCCTTCAAGAACCTAGACTTAATTTTGGTCTTTATCCCCAGATTCCATCTTGGAAGGAGTATAAATAAGAACAATGTGGATACCTGCTCTCCAGTATGTCATGAGCCCCCATATCCCACTGGTTCCTCCCACTCAGTATCCAAATAGGGAAGCATCCATTCCATCTAGACCCCCACCTCATAACCACCACTTGCATTATTAAATACAAATGCCAGCCTCTGAGCAAGATCCTTGGACTAGTCACACAGTCAATCCTATCCATGGTCACTGTGGCCAAACTCTTCCCTCAATCTGAAATGAAACAAATAAACTATTTAACCATTGCCTTGCCCCCTTTTGCTTCCCATTTGCATAACTAACTCTATCCTGCTATTTGAATGGCACTCTCCCTCATTCCTTTCCATTCTATAGCAATTTTAGAAAAAGTACTGAAAAGAAAATGAGTAGAGGGTCATCAAGAAGAGAAGTGAGGGGCTAGAGTGTAACTCAGTGGTAGAGTGTCTACCTAGCATCCTCAAGGCCCTGGGTTCAAAAAAAAAAGAAGAGGAAGTGAAGACTGCAAGAGAGGACATTATAGGGAAGCAGACCATCTTTATATAATACAGGTTCAGAAGAGATTATTGTTTCACTTTGGAGAGAATGTGGAGTAAAAAGAGGAACTATAGGTGAGATTGGAAACATGACTTGGGGCTAGATCATGAAGGTCTTGTATGACATATTAAGATGTTTAGTCTTTACACTGTAGTCCATTGGAGGAGGGTCATGGAAGATACTTAAGCATGGCAATTCATATTCTGAGCTGAGTTGTGAGAAGATCACCATAATGATAATGAGGAAGGTGGATAATAGTATAGACTGGAGGGTGGGAGACCCATTAGGAGACTAATCATCTTGGCAGGATTTGATGAAAGTCCTGGCCTATGGCATTACCTATTGCAATGGAATAGAAGGGACAGACTTGTGGCAGGTTCAGTAAGACACTGCTGACTTTTCAAATGTGGGATGTTGCAGAACACCTGAGAGGGAATAGTCAAACTTGAGTAATTAAGTAGATGATTCAAGAATCATTAAGGAGTAGATTTTTTGAGAAAGATTTTGTGCTCAATTATAGATGGTTATTTTGAAGACACTCAGGGGAAATCCTGGTACAGATATCCACTGGGTAACCGCAGCCTTAGGCTAATGGTTGTGGCAGGGCATAGATACATGGAGGGATAGAACTGTTGAGAACTGATACCATATAGCTTCAGTATGGATCATCCAAATATACTACAATATGAATAGTAGCACTTTGAGGAAAGTGTCCCAAAAGTTGGTAGTAATTGAAACCATGAATGGGAATGAGATCATTCAGGCAATAGTTATAAACAGTTTCAAGAAAAAAGAGAAAAACAGAAGGGGACCAGCTGTTGTGTGGGATGCTCTGCTCACATTATAGGGGAATTGGTTCTATCGTATTTTTTGTAATTCCCAGTTATCTGCAAGCAATGATAATTTAGGATTGATCTGAACACATTAAGAGTCTGGGCAAGGTTGGTTTGGTCTTCAAGATAAAAGATGATACATTTTTACATGCCCTGACACAGATACACAAAGAATTGTTCTGCTACCTGAATAATGTCTTTGTGTCAGGAGACTGTGCTCTCTTAACATTCCAGGGAAGCTTTAAGAAATCCGGACAGAATCATTTCCCCATTTTTCAGATGACCTGTTTGGCCTTGGTCTGGAAGTATCCCTCATCTCCTTGCTTTGCCTATGTCATCCTGATTTCTAGAGTCTTAGTGAACTTTATTTCTTCTTTGCTCACAGTTCTCAAGGCAGACTTCCTGGAGATGAGAGTTGAGGCCACAGGTATGTTGTCTCCACCCTGACTACAGAACCTTTACAAAGATCCTGATTACAGAGTCTTTAAGGGCTAATACACCAGGTTTAGAAGATGGGGACTCACTTTCATGCTTCAGTTCATTATCATAAATTTCATGACCCTTGAACTTAGTGCTTTTTAATTCAGAGGTTTTGTGTGATTTTAAATTACTTTCTCCTTTCCTTTCTTTCTCCTCCAGTCAGACGGTAGTATAGTTGTACAGGTTGCCTTTGAATTAAATTCATTATGAGTCCTAGCTATAACATTTGGGGCAAGTACATTTCCTTTTCAGAGTCTCAGTTTCCCAGTCTATAAAATGAGAAGTTGGAACCTTGTAACTTTCACATCCTTTGGGTCAAGAAGGAAACAAATAACCTCCTTTGGGTATTGTAGACGGTGCCAAGAGGCTACCTTAGTATCTGTATAGGGACTTCATTTCTTCAGACCAAATTACTATTTCAGTCATACCTATCAGAACTTTTATCCTTAGCCTTTTGTGTTTGTCTAGCACAAAACACTTTCATATCCATTATCTCATTCAATCCAAACCAGATGCCAGAAGTAGGTAGGATAATATGTGTTCTGACTCAACATATAAAGGAATTGAAGTTCAGAGGAGATAAGTGACTTACTACGGTCAAAAGCATCTTGGAGGTCAGGAAATGCTTTTCTCTACCTAGGAGTTCCAGTTGCTTAACTATCAGATTTCTGGCATGACATGAACCAATATACACATAAATGATATCCAAGTATCTGGAGCTTAGCTTGTCATATGCTCCTTAGCCTTCCTTGTCTTCCTATCACTACCAGTCCTCATAGGTCCATAGGTTGATAAGCTTCTCCTTATCAGCCAACATAAAGGTGACGCCCCAGTAAAAGGAAGTTTGAAGATACTGCAGGCCATACAGGTGGGGGTAATCTCAGAAGTTCTAGTATCAGACTTTTGCTTTCCCAGGAAAACCTTTGGGAAATTAAAGTTGGAAGGCACAAAGTCTCCAGACCTGATTACTATTCCACTGTAGGTCTGTTCTGTGGGATCTGAGCCCTAATGGCCTTTTCCCAGCCAGCCTCTGTTTCTCAGAAGATTAGCTACCAGTCATAGGCTTTGCTACTTACCTAGCAGGCTCCACTGCCCAGTGGCTGTTAAGTGTGTAACAAGTCCTAGCTAATTCTTTTTCTTCTTTTTCTTTCAGGTTTTAAAATCCTTGGCCTCAGGGATCCTTTCCAGGTCCTGAAAGGGTCTACTTCAAAGCCTTGTGTCCTGAGACATTTTGTGCTGAAGAGCAGCTCCTTCTTGGCCCTGCACCTTCAGGCTCATGGGAAGCCAAAAATAAGGGGCACATGTCCTAGACACATGTTTATTTCTCCTTTGTATTCTGTCTTCATCCCCTCAGAAGGTCTGTATTAAGCTCCTGTAACACTGTGAATGTCTGGATTCCCTCAAGCCCCAGACTCTGCCAAAACCAAGATATCCACTGACCTGAGTCGAAGAAGGGAGCCTAGTTTTCAACTCTTCCCTGAACTTCCTGCTTCCTCAAAAGGCTGTTGAACTCTCAAGATTTGGGGCTAAAGACTGGTCTTAGGAGTCTTGCTCTGAACTAAAGGCAACTTGATTTGGGGTCATTGCTTACCTTGGTTGAAGGGGAGTAGGAATGTTTGCTGAATATTAGAGAATGTTAACATGTCTCTTACTGAGGATATGGGCACTGGTGCCAGGTTGGTGCTCTGGCATTGCAATATGTTGCTAAGAGCCTGTCTGCTGTGGGACCAGACAGCATGGGTTATGCCCCTCACAGTGCTCACACCCTGCATGGACTTAGGAAGGGGGCCTTCCTGCTCTTGCCTACAGCCACTTAGGACAAATCTGCAAAGCATGTTTTGCATGTCAAAGCCTAGGTCTATTTGGATCATCCTTCCTGTTTTCACCTAAAAGCTTCCTTTCCAAGCAAACAAGAAAAAGTGAAAAACAAACAAAACTGAAAATATTTCTTTAAAAAAGGCATATTGTGTTTGTCATATTGGAGCTCCATTCTTGAGTCAAATGTTAGGAAAAATTGTTAAGATGGAGGGAAGCCAAGTAGTTATTGCTGTTGCTTCATGTTTGCCTTCTGCTGATAAGCTATTTTATCTCCTGAAAAAAAAGGCAATTTTTTTATCGAGTGTCCATGGATTCAGGAACTCCATGATGCCCCTGAGATGTTATGCATGATTCCATGACAATTTGCCTTTTCTGGGCAGATAGTCCATAATATTTTACTGAATTTCAAATGGGCCTATGACCCAAAAAACATTAAGAACCACACCTCATGAGATAAAGACTCATTTTACAGTCCATAAAGCATTTGATTAGAAGAGGTTCTCAAAAACATTTAGTCTAACAGCCTAGTTTACTGGCAGAGCAAGTTGGTGACCACAGCAGAACAAGATCCCAGGTCCTTGAGCTGGTATGTGGAGTTCTTTCTATTACACCACACTTTTCTAGCCAGGGGCCTTAGGGTTGGTGGCTTTAATGACCATCAGTTTGGGGGGTTGGCTTTTTACCATTTTTATTGACCTCACATTTACCACCAAGGGGAAAACTTCAAAAAACAATCCCCTGATCCCCTTCATTGATCATCTCAATCACTAGAAGGGAATTAAATCAATGTAGTGGGTCAGAAAGCTAAGAAATAGATATTTCCGAATCCTGTTTGTTGAAAGAAATCTTCTGAAAAAGTGTCAGTGTTCCCAGGCAGATGCTGGGGCCATAGCCTCTCTTTAAGGTCCATGTGACTATAACATGACCCAGTATGGGAGGAAGTGCTTTCCTGCTTCCACTCTTCTAACATGAGCCCACTAGTACACTGATTGTAGTACTTAGAGAGAAGCATAGATATGGAGAGAGAGAGAGAAAAATAAAAACATACATATGCCCAATCCCAACCAACTCTGAGATGTCTTTGGGATGGTGTTACTAAATGGAAAAAGTCACTTTTAAGACTGAACTCCAAACATGGTTTATTGGTGAGTAAGGAACATGTAAGCTAAATATATTAATATCTTTGGTCAAAGTTATTGAGTAGAATCTTGATGCAGTATCAAATCAAACATGCCCAGGTGGCCATATTGAGCTCTTTCCACCCTACCTAGTTTTGAAGGCCACATTGCTTAGGAACCAGGAGCAAGAAAGTTATCATTTCACCCGCTGCTTAGCCGCAAAGAAAATCTCTGAGACTTGCTGGTCTCTTATTGAGCCCTGGTCTCAGAGACCTGGGCCCTTGCTCTGTCCTGTTACATGATTGACTAAAACAGGCAGGTGTGCAGAATTTGGTCATGGAACCAGTGGCCAATGGAACCTCAGAACCAGGGAGGATGGTAGAGAGATGGTTTGACTCTAGTTTTCTTGGGTAGAAAATACCACAACCACCACGATGAAATTGGGAGATTATTGAGAAGCAGAGAAATGTATGGCAATCCCAGTGGAAGAAATATCCAGAAACTTGGTAGTGAGATTGCTGTGTTGCCTGGGACACAGATCTAGATCCTAACATGAAGGACAGGTACCATCAGTCTTATTGGAGGAATAATGGCTGAAGTTGTTTTGGCCTTGTTCTAAGCTATCCCCAAAGAATGAACCACATTGCTCCCCCTGATACTCTGATTTAAAGAGCATAAGACTCTAGCGAGGCATGCTATCATGGAATGAGATTGGCTTGGCCTAAGCTTGATGGTCTTTTAGGAGAGGCAATGGGATAAAGGAAATAATCACAAAGTGGCAGCTATAGGAAATAATCAGCGTACCTTAGCCAGTAGGTTAGAGAAACTGGCAATGGATGAGCTGTAAGTCTTGAACTGGCAGTGATAACAAAGGAGCTAACAGTTATTAAACACCTACTAAGTACTAGGTGCTTCATGTATATTATCTCATTTCATCCTTAAAACAGACATGCAAGTATTCATCTCATTTTAAAGATAAAGGAAGTATAGCCCAGTGGGCTGAAGTAAACAGCTCAAGGGCATATAGATTATAGTAAATAACAGAAACTGTGATTTGAATCCAGGCCTCTCTGACTCTACCCATGAGATATATATATATATATATATATATATATATATATATATATATATCTTTTTTTTTTTTTTTTTTACTTTTTGTCACACTGAGTTAGGTGTTTAAACAGAGGTCACATTACTGGAACTGGCATGATTTTTGACCCTTGCCTGCCTAACAAAATATTAAAAGGTAAGCATTTGATGGAGGAAGGGGAGTTAAGTCCACTTTACAGGGAAATGAAAATTAGTCTGGAAGATATTCCTGAGTTGGGCTTTCTCTTCATCTCTAGAGTATCTGTTTGGTAATATTTTTTAAAGGATCATCTAGTTTTACCTTGTGAAGTAAAAGATTTAATTTTAGTTGATAGTTGGTAAGTCCTTGGCCTAGCTATTTTTCAAAGGGAAAAGATCCTTTTGTATGTCTATGTACTTTGCTGATACTTCGCCAATGTTGTAGCATGTCTTATTTCAATCAAAGAACTTGTGGCATGCATACATGCAGTTTGAGAAGCAGGAAAGGTCTCTGTGCTCTGTGGAACTTCATGCCATGGGGTCAAAACCGTACACAGTTTTTCTGTTATAACAATAAACATCAGGAGATGGTTTCAAAAAATATTGAATTTTTATTTTTGAACTTAAAAAATGTGCATAGGGGTATGTTCAGCCACTGAGGAGCAAAACTAAGCATCCAATTTCAATAATAAAATAATGTCATATCTAAATAATTGGCTATCATGGGGAAATGACCTTCCCTTTTCAAGAAGTTCCTTGATGCTATAATAACTAGAACAAATAATGTAATAGAGGGAGTAGTTCTGTAACTATTAAAAATTGCTTGTGAGAAAATGTAGATCAATGATGCTACTATTAAAGTAGCTGCAGACAAGTGGCCTTGACACATTAGAAGCCCAGAAAAAGCTTCAGAAACAATGAAAATGCAGAGATGCAAGATAACTTGAAGGAGATATTTTCAGTGAAGAAAAGCTTTCATTTTCATAAGGAAATGAAACACTTGATGCCAAGGACATTAATAGAGGACTCAAAAGATCGCCTATGTGAAATATATGTGTGAAATCAGGAAAAAAAAATGGGATTCTGGGGCCCATTCATGTGACTTTCAATAAAACATGCAGACTGTCTAGTACAAATGGTTTCCATCTACAGTTTCATCATGAAAACAATTTGTGAACATATTAGGCATGATGGTACAGCCACTATCTACTGTTTGTGTTGTTTTTTACAAACTTAGGAAACAGGCACAGATTTATTTTAGTCCTATGAGTCTTAATGTACTTTCTACTTTGCACTGTGGCCTTCTCATTCCCTTAGGCCTCACAACATCCCTGTGTGATAGCTGATGGTACCATTTTTATAGATAAGGAACTTGAAGCTCAGGGAGATGAGAAATGATTTGCTTAAGATCACACACTAGTGACTGATTAAAAAAAAAACAGGACTAGAAGTTACAGAGTGCGTTCCACTTCTAATATACCTCGCTGCCCGCAGTATTAGACAAGATGAATCTCTATGGTAAATAGAGAAGATACTTAGAAATAGGACTGCTGAAAACATAAGGTAAGTCTTGATACTCATAACATGACCCAGCATTCTCAACATCAACATTACCTGGGAACTTGTTAGAAATGAAGACTGTGGGCCTACCCAGACATCTGGATCTGTATTTTAACAAGATTCCCAAGAGATTCCTATGTAAAAGTTTGAGAAACACTGAATGAGGCTGATTTGATGTGTTGGGAATGGTTACAAAAATTGAGTCAGTAGCTATCTGCTTCTTGTTTTGTTTTGCCCATGACCTTGAGCTTTGGTGAAAATGAATGAAGTTTCTCCACCTCAAATAGTGAAATCGGCATTGTGAATAAGAAAACTAAAAAAGTTACAGGGCCTTCAAACTCTGAGCAACGGAGGCAGTGGAAAGGCAACAAGGGGCAGTTGGAAAAAAATTCATTTCATGAGCCCTAAGGGACTCAGCTTTGTCACTGCCTCTCTAGAATGCCGAGCAAATTCCTCTCCCTTTAGGCCTTGTTGCCTTTAAACAAGGTGATCTTATAGCACCTTTTCAGCTTTGATATTCTGTTATTCTTGGGTTTGGATTCTACCAAAGCCTTCATTGTAATGAAAAGATACTACTACTTTAGTATCTTCAGTTTATATAAGAAGGGGTAAATTTCAGAGTCATAGTAAAGCAACATTAATGGAAACTGCAAGGATTTAGGAGGGGTATTACTTCAATTAAACTGCTCATGGTACCAGCACAAGGTTCTTTCAAACCTTTCAGCATTTCTTTCAACAGCAAGAGTATACATGGGGTAGGACAGATAGGCTTTATATCTGGGAGCTTTGCCTCCATTACATGTTCATGCTCATTACTTCATTAGAGCCTCACACAGCCTTATCACCTAGTCAGAGCAAGGATAATTATCCTCATTTTATTAAAACTCTGACATAACATGTCCTAGGTCATATAGGTAGGAAATAGAGTGGAACTTAAGTGTGTGATTTCATCTAGGCTGTACTAGTCCTCTAGGAAGTAAAAGCAGCCTTGAAAACCCACAGCTCTTCTCCTGGGAAATGTTATGTGCTCAAAGTATTAATTCCATCAATCGAGTTGCTTCAAAACATTGATTGATTATATCCTGTTGGAGCATATAACAGCTGTATGACTTGAAACTTTGTGGAGGACTTTTAGTTCCCTTACATCATTTTGTTCTCATAGCAGCCCCATAAGGTGGGAAGTACAAGGTATTTTGCCCTCGCTTAACATATGCATAAGTAGAAGCCCAGCAGCATTGCATTAGTCTTCTATTGCCTCTACTAAAACAGATTATCATCAGTTTAGCAGCTTAAGACAACATCTGTGTGTTACCCAACAGTTTCTGTTGGTCAGAAGTTTGCTGGATTCACTGCTTAGGTTCTCACTGAGTTTAAATAAAAATATTATATGATAAGCCTGTGGTTGTCATATGAGGTTCAGGGTTCTCTTTAAGGGTTGTTGGCATAATTGAATTCCTTCTTGTTGTAGGATTGAGGTTCTCATGTTTTGGGTGATGGTTCCTTCCATCTTTAAGCCAATAACA